TTCATGGCAAATACATGGGGAAACAGTGGAAACAGTGTCAGACTTTATTTTTTTGGCTCCAAAATCACTGCAGATGGTGAGTGCAGCCATGAAAGTAAAAGACGCTTACTCCTTGGAAGAAAAGTTATGACCCACCTAGACAGCATATTAAAAAGCAGAGACATAAAGGGTTTTAGAGAGAGGATGACATAGTCCCTCTGGTTATGGTATGGAAGATAAAGTGGGCATGAGTGAGACTGGCAGCAGGAAGACCAATTAGGAGGCAATGGGAATAATCCTGCCTTTGAAGGGAAGCTTTTACACAGAATCATTTGCTGCATGGTGGTTGTGACAAGGGCAATCTGGGGAAGATTTGTTTCCTCCTCCGCCAGTGTCCCAAGGCTAATAGTTCTGCCATTGCAAACTTTCCACAGCTGGCTACTGACTGGTGTCAAACATGATGGTGAGTCTATCATGCCTGGAGTCCTCACTGGCTGGATATGGAAAAATCTCAGAACTTGAAACTCATCTCAATGTCTAAAGCTTGTCCAGAGGAATTGTTGCAGATCTTTAAATATGAAAACTTGGGCTTTGTCACTTTTTCACTGATTTGTTCCCTCTCCCAGCCCCATACGCTCTCGGGCCCATGTAAAATTCTAGCATCTGTCTATTCAGGTGCCATTTTCTTCATATAATTTTCCCTAATTTTTATTTCCTGGACTCCAAATAAGAGTTAACTGTCCAGAAAAGAGCTATACATCCTCATGTTCACTGCAATCTTATTTACAAAAGCCAAGATATAGAAGAAACCAAAATGTCTATTGATGGATAAATAAAAAAGAAAATGCTATATATTATACACATATAATGGGATATAATTTAGCTGTTAAAAAGAATGAAATCTTGGGACTTCCCTGGTGATCCAGTAGTTAGGACTTAGTGCTTTCACTGCCGTGAAAGCCCAGATTCAGCCCCTGGTGGAGGAACTAAGATCCTACAAACTGTGTGGCATGGTCAAAAACAACCCTCCCCCAAAACAGCACAAAGATCCCCAAATCATATGAAACCAAGTTCATACATAACAAAGAAAAGATTGGTGGTTGCCAGAGGCAGAAGTTGGAGGATGAGTGGAGGTGAAGGCAATCAAAAGGTACAAATTTCCAGGTCATAAAATAAATAAGCAATGGGGATTGAATTATAGCATGGTGACCATAGTTAATAATACTGTATTTCATATTTGAAAGTTGAGAGAGTGAATCTTAAAAGCTCTCATTGCAGGGAAAAAATCTGTAACATGGTGACCATGTTAACAAGATTTATTATGAATGATCATTTTGCAGTACATACAAGTGTTGTAGCATTATGGTGTACACCCGAAGCTAATATGGTGTATGTAATTATACATCATTTTTTAAAAAAGGAAAAGAGAATTAACCTTTCTTATTTTAATATTTCAAAGAATTTTGTGTGTACAGTTAAAAATCAATAAATTGGAGCAAGGAAGGAAATTACAAATAACAGATCTGTTAGACTAGGGCACAGTCCTACCCCTCACCCCAGATAAATCACAAGTTTGAGTAAACTCTGGGAGTTGTCGATGGACAGGGAGGCCTGGCATGCTGCAGTTCATGGGGTCACAAAGAGTTGGACACAACTGAGCGACTGAACTGAACCGAACTGAAGTAGTTGACTATACCTCCACTTACACTTATTTTGCCTTAGCAAAACTTTATTTAAAAACACTCACATAGCACTAAAGGTCAGGCACAGTGTAAGCACTTTACAAATAAGCCTCTTAACAACTCTACAACATAGATGCTCATCTTATCACCCCCATCTGGAGATGAGAAAACTAAGCCACCAAGGAGGGTTTCACAGCTCATATGTAAGAATTTGAACCCAGGAAGCCTAGCTCTAGGTTCTGTACTCTTAGCCGCAATTGCGTGTATGTGTCCTCTCTCCCTGCCAGTAGATCTTGGAAGCACCAGGTTCTGCAGATTGTTTTTTCCTGAGTTGTAACTGTAAGCTAGGGATGTGGCAGCAGAAGGGAACACAAATATAAAAAGACATAGTTGTGCTCTCTGGGAGGAAATCAGTTGTTTATTGAACATAACAAACCACGAAACTGTGGCTTAAAACAGCAGCCTTTTACTTGCTCATGATTCCAAAATGTGGGCTGGACTCACTTACCCGTTTGCAGTCAAGTGATGCTTTAACTAGAACTAGAGGATCCGAGATGGCCTTCCTCAAGTCTAGACTCTTAGCTGGTTTAGCTGGAATAGCTGGAGGCTAGTTAGATTTCTCTCCTCCTGGCCTTTCATTTTCAAGGAGGCTGGCTGGGATTTCCTTTCATGATGTGTCAGAGCAGCAAAAAAAAGCACAAGTGGAAGCAGCAAGGCCTTCCAGATGCTAGACTTGGAACTCACTCAATGTTACTTACACTGTACTTTTTTGCTCCAAGCGAGTCATCAGTGTGGCAGATGGTCACATAATGCCTTGAATTCAGGGTTGTGGGTGGTGATAACTTGGTGGGTGGTCGACAGAGGGACGGAGAAGGAAAGATAGACATTCTAGGCAGATAGTATAGTAGTTGCATAAGTACATGGTACAAAAAAGCATGTTGTACCTAGGGAATAACAAATACTCAAGAGTGATTAGAATAAAAAGGGCACTTGAGGAAGAAAAAGGGTAGGGAGTTTGAAGAAGAGGAAGGAACCAGATCAGGAAATGGCATGAGTGCCTTATTAAGAAGTTCCCAGTGTTACCCTTAGGGACTAGGTCATTGAAAAGTTTTGTTTGTTTGTTTCTGAGAAATTTTGATTATGGAAAGCACATGATTAGGGCTTCTCTTGTGGCTCAGTTGGTAAAGAATCTGCCCGCAAGGCAGGAGACCTGGGTTTGATCCCTAGGTTGGGAAGATCCTCTGGAAAAGGGAAACGCTACCCACTCCAGTATTCTGGCCTGGAGAATTCCATGGACTATATAGTCCATTGAATCACAAAGAGTCGAAGATGACTGAGTGACTTTCACTTCAAGCACATGATGTGATTTGTGTATTTGACTATCTCTTTGGGAGACCATGGGAATGGGTGAGATGGAAATCAGGAAGACTAGTGAGAAGGATGTTGTGAAATAGCAGGTATAAGATGATGAGGCCTCATGCAACAACGGCACAAGGAACAGAGAAGAGGAAAAGGGCTTCAGAAATATTTACAAGGCAAAATGAATAGGATATGGCAATTGAAGGAGGAATATGGAATGATTCTCAAGTTTGTGACTTTGGCAACTGAGTAGCTACAAGTGATTGAGTTTTATGAAAAAAAGTGCTCATTTAAGCTTTGCATCAATTAATTTTGAGATGCCTATATGACAATCAATAAAAGTGTGGGGTGGACAAGTTGGATATACAAATTTGAATTCTAGGACAGAGGGCCAGGTTAAAGATATAAAATTCATCAGCAAGCAGGTGGCTGTAAGAAGCCATAGATTTCCTAGAAGTAGGCAGAATGGTAGAATAGAGGCTGGTGTGGGGGTGGGGAACTTCCCTGATGGTCCAGAGTCTAAGACTCTGTGCACCCAGTGCAACGGGCCCAAGTTTGATCCTTGGTCAGGGAATTAGATTCCCACATGCTGCAACATTTGGCATGCCTCAACTTAAAAAAAACCCCTGCATTCTGCAACTAAGATCGGGCACAGCCAAATAAGTAAGTAAATAAACATGGAAAAAAAAAAAGAATCCAGGCTTGGAATGATCAAAAGGGAAGAACTACACTTAATAATGAGAAGAGAAAGAAAAGGCCATAGAGATTTTAAAAGAACTATTAAAAAAAGAACTATAAAGACAGGAGGAAAACCAGGAGGAGTGGTACCCCACAAGTCAAGGGAGAAAAGAATTTCTATGCTATTTGGAAAAGTGCTTGTGAGATTTAATTAATCACCAATTAATCACTGGTGACCATACTGAGAACAGTTTTAGGAGAGTTATAATGACAATACCCCAATTGCTATGGACTGAGGAAACCTGTGAGATGTTTGTACATGAGATGATGGGCGAGGGGGAGTTGCAGGAAGTTAAAGAGTTCCTTCATCGAAAGTGAGTGATCTACCAAGAGGGAAATGTGTGGGCTTAAAGAGTGCAAGGGGAAGGCTCATAATAGTTGTGCTGAGAAAGAAAATCTTTGAGTGCTACTTCCTGCCAAGTTTCTGCTCAAAATTCTTCTCACTTTCGTGATAAACTTCAGGAAAAATCCCTTTACCTTTTCATTTGCTTTCCCCCTTCTCTCCTTAAAATCACTTTTATTGTGATCTGGCATTTGTCTCTATCTGACAATGACTTTCAAAAAAATCACCACTGACTATTGTGTTCCACCTAATGTAAACTGTGTCATTCCATATTATTCATTCTAAAGAATGAATGTTTGCTGTTCTCAACAACATACTCCGTGATTTTGTCTAAATTATTTATTTTTTTTCCAACAGTGAAATAGGAATATAAATTCTAATTTCTCCCAAACTCAGTAAAATGTAGGAGAAGTTGAGAAAGTGGGGTTTTAAGGTACATAAAAAATCTCTGAGATAAGTAGCTCTAATTATATCTCCCTAGTAGGATTGTTTCAGGGATTAAGTGAAATAATGTAACAACGACAACATTCTTAATAAATATTTCTAATAAATATCTGGCATATGTTTTTTTAATTTAAAACAAATTCTTTTTTAAATTTCTTTTTTTATTGAAATGTAGTTGAGTTACAATGTTGTGTTAATTACTGCAGTATAGCAAAGTGGCTTGGTTATGCACATATATACATACCTTTTTTTTCATATTCTTTTTTAGTATGTTTTATCACAGGGTATTGAATATAGTTCCTCACAGGGTATTGAATATAGTTCCCTGTGCTACATAGTAGTGCCTTCTTGTTTGATAGCAAATTCTTAATAAATATCTGGCATGTGGTAGCACATGGTAAAGACTGTATTTTAGTTTGAAAATTAGCAAACTAAAATTCAACAAGTGAAAAAAGAAGGTCCGGCTATTTGGAGGTGCTTAGGCAGGAAAATATTTGGTGTTTATGAAATGATATGTTTGGAAATTGCTTCAATATAATCTCCCATGTTGGGGGTATGGTACAGGAATTGACCAGTTATTGAAGCTGAGCATTCATTATTCTAATTTTGTACACATCTGAAATTTTCATAATAAAAAATTATGATTGTTTAATTGCATGCAACTATATTCACACAATATGCTTGGCATATAGATGAAATGTAATGAAAATTTAGTTTGTAACCGGTCAAGTTGCTTTTTGAGGTTTGTCACCGTACACCCCACTCAACTCCCCAAAGTAAGGGAGTGATGCAAGGAAGATTTAAAGTAGAATTATTTGAATTTACAGCTTTCATAATATCATAAGTGGGTGTCATTTCAATAACTAATGTTTTTCTGCTTCAGTTTACTTTTTTTTTTTCTTTTTTAGCATTCTCCTTTTATTTTTCCTTTTGGATGAGTTTCGTGGCACGCAGGTTCTTCTTTCCCCGACCAGGCAGGGATCGACCTGTGTTTCCTACTGTGGAAGCACGGAGTCTTAATCACTGGATGTCAGGGAAGTCCCTAGCTAACCAACTTGAATCATTAGAAACAAAACTACAAGTCCCAGAATGCACTGCACGATGGACGTCAACTCGAGGACCCCGCGTCTCCGAACTGGTTGCCTTTACTTGAATGGGAATAATCCCAGCGAAAATTGACGTCTGTGACTCAGAGCAGATTTTCGAGTATCTGTACGCTTGGGTCGGTCGAGAGTACAGTTCGAGAGGGACAGAGTGGTACCTTTCTGATTAGGCGTCGCCCCGGGCAGCCTCACCTCCTCCTGGGGCTTCCGTGCGGCAGGAGGGCTCCGCTATTGCGCCTCCAAGATGGCGACGCTGTTGGCGGTAAATTCGGGTAGGTGCGGCCGGGGCAGAATGCAAGCTGTGGGCAGGGTGCTGACCCGTCCTTTAGGTAGAGACCCGGGCAGTGAGTTTCCTCGGAGTCCAGGACCCCACTTGTGCATAAGTGCCCCCTTCTCCTTAGCTCCAGGGCTAGAGTCCCGCCCCTCCCCAGTTTGAATGGCGCGCGTCGGCACTGCGGTTCTAGCCCTAGAATTGGGTCTTAAGGGTCGAGGCAGGGAGGCTTGATCCACTGGAACAGGACGGGCAGTTCTCATAACCAGGGCCTAGTCTAGTGCCTTCCATTCCCCATCCCAGTATGTGTCTGCGGTCCGAATTCCTGCAGGATTAGCAAGTCTCTGGCATTGGGACCAGGAGACCAGAGATAATTTTCAGCCACGAGCTCAGGCTTAAAATGAAAACTCCCACCTCAGAATGGTCCCTGGGCCCCCTCTAGGTTGGGTGGGCGGGTGGGTGGGTGGGTAATTCTACAGAAAGCGAGGGCCCTTGGTTATGAAGCCTGCAATCCGGAAGCTGGTCCAGAGTGCCGTGACTCCCGGCTTGGCTTCTGTGGCCCGTCTCTGGATGCTCCTGAACGTTTGGAGCAGTAGACCGTCGGGGACGGGCAGAATCTAGAAGGGAGAGAAGAAAGTTTGAAGGACTTGGATTGGGTTTTCTTGTCAATTCTCAGTCGGGCGAGTACCCCCCGCCCCACCCGTACCCCTGTCCCCACCTGGGCGTTTGAAAGAGTGGTGCATTCTGATTGTTACAATTCCTGGGATGCCCTGCTGCAGCCTAGTGGGCCGGCCAAGGATGCCAGAAGTGCTGTGGCGGCCGGAAGGTGCCTGGTAGATGAAAAATTTCCTGCTTAGAATGCCTTGATTGAGCCGTGCTAAGCTTCATGGGTAGTTAAGAGCACATCTGCGTGGTAAATGCTTGTAGGGCATTTCACTCAAGAGGACCCTTTTTCTGGGCGCCTTTTCTTTCTGTCTCTGTACAGTCTTTTCTTGTTGCTGATATATTCTTTTCATGGGCTTCCGTGGTTGCTCATCTGATAAAGAATCTGCCTGCAATGCGGGACACCTGGGTTGGGAAGATCCTCTGGAGAAGGGAAGAGCTACCCACTCCAGTATTGTGGCCTGGAGAATTCTATGGACTATAGTATGTATAGTCCATGGGGTTGCAAAGAGTCGGACGCTACTGAGCGACTTTCACTTTTCACTTATTCTTTTCACATGACTGATATTTTTGAAAACTTGTCTAAATCTGACTTTTGTAAATCAAACCCTTTCAGAACCACTATGATAAATTATTTTATAATAATGAATTATGTTTATTGAGCACCTCCTTTTTTCCAGGCACTGGACTGAGAGTTGTGCTTTCATTTAGTCCCCCTTATACAACTCTGGAGTAGTTGGTATTAAATACATCATTTTATAGATTTGGAGATAAGAGTCTTATTAACTTCTTCAAGATTATACAGCTAATGATTTAAAGCCAGTCGTCTTTTTTTTTTTCCCTTGAAGCCAGTCTTTGATACTTAAACTTCTACATGTTCCTACTTGTGAAAGTGTTAGTCACTCAGTCATCTCTGACTCTTTGCAACCCATGTGGACTGCAGCCCACCAGGCTCCTCTGTCCGTGGAATTCTCCTGGCAAGAATACTGGAGTGGGTTGTCATTTTGTTCTCCAGGCGATCTTTGTGACCCAGGGATCGAATCTAGGTCTCCTGCATTGCAGGCAGATGTTTTCTACTGTCTGAGCCCCCAGGGCAGCCCTACTTAAGCAAAACCTAATTCATTTCATTACATAGTATTTTCATGTATCTGAATGTTAGCAGTGAAGTTACTTTCTTAGTATTGATGTCCTGCCCTCCCACCCAGATGTAAACTTATAACAAGTCTTGCATGTTGTATGTGTGGTTATATACTTTTCTTTAGTATATACTCATTGTAAGTTACTATTCTTAAGTTGAAGGAAAATGCTGTTGCCAACAGCTGCAAAGAGTATACATTGTATAATAATGCCTTGTGGCAGGAGTATTTAATTGGCCACATAGAAAACATTTTTAAGAGCTGAGTCAGGAGAAATTTTATATATATATATATATATATACTACTGAACTGCATACTTCAAAATGTTTAAGATGGAAAATTCTATTCTATGTGCTTTTTATCATAGTTCAAGAAAAAACTTAAACATCTTAGAATTGTAGACAGGGAAGAAAGTAGATTGTAGAGTTCAAAGACCTATGCTTGAGTTTCAGCTGCATGATTTACTAGTATTGTGACCCATGTCAGCCTGGCTGAGTAGACCTATAGGCTTGTGAGTAAGCAGCCATTAACACTGTCAGTCCTTGGAGGGCTGTCTGGTCACTCCTGTCCTCTTCATAGCATTGTCTGTTTCAGACCTTTTCCACGCCCATCAAATCTTTAACCTCCAACTGATCCCTTAGTCTCCTAGTCACACAGAAAGAAGCCAACAGGCATGAACTCTTTTTTCACCCTTAAACCTACAAAGGTAGGTATACCTACACTCTTGAGTCAGTTTCCCTGTGTCTTCCTGTCTAAGGTAGATCCTACCCTTTACAGCCTTATCCCTGTTACTCCCTCCTCTTGTCGATTTGCCTCTGTGTCTTGTTCCTTTTCTTTCCACTACCTGCCCTCTTTCTTGATTTCATGCCTCACCCCAGTTACTGTCCTCTTGCTCCTCTTCACAGTCAAATCTTTCAAACATTCATCAGTATGCACTGACTGTTTCCATACCTTCTCCACCCACTCCATTCTCTTGTTGTTTAGTCACTAAGTTGCATGAGACTCTTTGCGACCCCATGGACTGTAGCCCGCCAGGCTCCTCCGTCCATAGGGTTTCCCAGGCGAAAATAGTGGAGTGGGTTGCCATTTCCTTCTCCAGGGGATCTTCCCAGTGCAGGGATTGAACCCACATCTTGTGCCTTGGTGGGCAGATTGTTTCCTGCCGAGCCGCCGGGGGAGCCTCTCTAGTCTGTTCCCCTCCTCCTAAATGGCTGTCAACTTTTACATGCTTTTCTGTTTCAGTAAGTGCAGCAGACATGAGAGATCTTATTCCCACTTGATCTGCAAGGGTAAAACCAAAATCCTTATCAAGAGCTAGTGAGCCCTGTGTAGTGTGCCGGTTGCCCCCCTTGCGGAACCCTTCTCGGTACTCTGGCTCTCTCGGCATTTTCAGCAGTTTGAGAATGCAGCATTTCCTCTTGCCTTGGGAACCCATGTGCTGTCCTTTTTCCCTGGAGTGTTAATGTCTACCACCTTCCACTCCCCCTTTTATCCTTCGAATTTCAGCCTAATAACCATCCCTTGCTCAGTGCATCCTTGCCTTCCCTGATCTCCCTGGAGAGGTCACATTCCTCTATTGTGCGATCTTTGCCCTGGGTGCTTCACTGTCATAGCCCATACCCCATATTGGAGATTGCTCTGAAGTGTGACTGTGTGGGAAATGTGCTTCCTCACTACACTGTGAGCTTATGCATACCTACTCCGTGTTGAATGGGTGAATAGGTGGGATTTTTGATCTGTTATTGGATGCCTTCCCGTAAAAGGAGAGAAGTAGAATTTTCTCTAGAATTCACTGAACTTATTTAAGCTATGTATAGTGCAAAGAATCATTCATCAGAGGTTCTATTATTTTTACAGCCTATTTTTGTTAGTTTTTTGTCAGATTTTAAAAAATAGTTGTGGTAAGGTGACTTTCGCTTTTACCTACAAGTCAGTTTTTTTTTTTAACTATTTATTTCTTTTAATTTGGCTGCACTGGGTCTTAGTTGCCAAATGTGAGACTGAGTTCCCTGGCCAAGGATCGGACCCGGGCCCCCTGCATTGGGAGCACTGAGCCATACCCACTGAACCACTAGGAAGTCCCTACAAGTCAGTTTTGATAACTTTCCTTCATACCCTGTGCCAATCAGTAGCCAGTTCTGACTCTACCAGCAGCTCTCTCCTTTCTGTTTTACTGCCCTCAGCCTGCTTTAGGTTCCATCACCTCATGAGTAACTTACCTACCGATCATCCTTGGGTCCTGACACTTCATATTCTAGTTAGTCTGTCAGTCACACCATTGTGCAGGTTTAGTTTGTCTTCCGGGGCTTCCCAGGTGGCTCAGTGGTAAAGAATCCACCTGCCAGTGCAGGAGATGCAGGTTCAGTCTCTGTGTTGGCAAGATCCCTTGGAGAAGGAAATGGCAACCCACTCCAGTATTCTTGCCTGGAGAATTGCAAAGAATCGGCCACAACTGAGTGACTGAGCGTACATGCATTTTGTCATCTACTCCTTGAAACTTGCCCATTTGCTAATGGGAAAAATTCCATCTTGGCCAGGAAGACAAAGCTCAAGCCTGCTCTGTCCTCAGCAGCTAGAAAGAGCCAAGAAAATGATCTCTACGGAAGTCAGGTAGCCACCGTCTGACTGGCCCCTCACAGGCAGTCACCAGGATCCAGGGTCGGGTCCTCATCTTGGCAGGCCTGGAGCTGTGATATTTGTTAGTTGTACCCAGAGTCGAGTAGATGCCAGTAATTGATTTTCTATACTCACCCTCAGACAGATACATAAACCAGTATGTCAGTTAATTGATCTTTAGTGGGAAGTACATCTGCGTGGGTCCTCATTTCCTCAGCACATTTTATTCTGGAAAGTTTATATGACATGCTGTGTTTTCCATCAGAAGATTGGGAAGTTTAGGGTCAAGATGGGAAAAGCAAAGCCGGGAGTTGGGTGATTGTTCTCTATGTAAGGTCGAGACAAGTGATCCCCATTCCCTCACATCCCTAGAGCAAGGATCTGACACACCACCTCCTCCCTGCCCATCACATCAAGTTAGATGCTTCCTTGTTCTCACAGGACTCTACTTCTTCATCATACCTTTCATTAGACTGTTAGTTGTGTTTTGAATTCTGCATTTAATGCCGGTCTTTCTCATCAACCTGTAAGTTCCATGAGCCCAGGGATCCTGTCTGTTCTGCTTGCTCTATCGTCCCTGACACATGGACGGCCCTCAGTACAGTGAATGCATGCTTCAGCTTGACTGGTTTAGTCTGTCCTCTTCTTGGACATCGGGCTTCCCTTGTGACTTAGCTGGTAAAGAATCCACCTGCAATGTGGAAGACCTGGGTTCAATCCCTGGGTTGGGATGATCCCCTGGAGAAGAGAATGCTACTCACTCCAGTGTTCTGGCTTGGAGAATTCCATGGACTGTATAGTCCATGGGGTTGCAGAGTTGGACATGACTGTGCGACTTGTACTTTCTTGCACATCCCTTTAAAAAAATTTGCACAGTACCTTGCCACCTTCTGACAACACTGTTCATAAGATTGTAATGCATTTAGTTAGGTTACAGTTGTCTTGCATGTCATTCTGACTGTCCTGGTGACTTTAGTGGGATTTGTGTTTTCTTAGATATCAGTTAAACATGTTTGCAGTCTACTCTTTGCGGTTTGAGCTATAGTTAGTGCATCCGTTGAGTGAGTGAGTGGTTTTGGTTAGTTTCCCTTTCAGAGTCTTTATTAACATATAGGGGTACCATGTCTGATTGTTTGCAAACAGAAACTTTGGGCTTCTGTGTCATTTTTTTCAAACGGTACTTAGTAGCACATAGCAATAGCTCTGTAAGTATTACTTATTATTCTTAGTATCTTTACAAAGAAAAATGTGATCCTTTATTAAATGAGTTTACAGAAGAATTCTGTATTTCTATGCTGTTTTTTAACAGCTAGTGTCCCAAGCAAATAAAATACTTTTTTTCAGCTTCTAAGTTTTACAGACTCTGGTTCCTCCTCCCCCCATTCCTGCTTTTCCTCTGGATGATAGGGAGGGAAGGAAAGGCAGTTACATTTATTGAGTGACTGTGATATGCCAGACACTGTATTGTATGTTTTACCTAGTTTATTCTTAGTCCATTCAACCTTATGAAGCAGGTGATGTCCCTATTTTCTGTATAAGGAAACTGAAATTCAAAGAGGTTAGTTTCTTACTGCATGTCACATAACCAATAAAGTGACAAAACCAGGTTCCACTAATGCTTCAGTTTAAAGTCAGGATTTATTTTATATTAAGTTAGGTAAAATGATGTTTATGTTATTGCTTTTGAATTCTAATATTCTTTTACGTTAATGTTTGGTTTGTATATGTAATTCCTTATATTTAAAAGTTGCTGTGAGTGTGACTAAAATGTGTAGACAATAACTTTGCCTTATTTTCCAAATGTATGTTATACTTGATGCTGATTTTATTTATTTTTCCTTTAAGCTGCTAGTCTGTGGGGTCCTTACAAAGACATTTGGCAGACTGTGGGAAATGCTCTTTCGAGAAGACAACCTGAAGCAGTCCACCTCCTTGACATGATTTTGAAGAAACACAAACCTGACTTCATCTCATTGTTCAGAAACCCTGTAGGAGAATTTCTTTTTTTTGTTTCTTGAATTTGTTTTTTCCTTTAAAGATTGAGGGAGCAAGTAAATTCTTAATGCATTTAAATGCAATATGTTACTTGTTCTAGTCTATTGATTCAAGTTTTTTCTAAAGATGGAAATTTCCTAGGAGGAATTATTCTCTTCTTTCTGTTCTCCATGGAAGTTAATATAGCTTTTAATTCTAGCTAGATGGTATCTTGATAGTATTTGAATACGATTTTGGAAGGTCCACATATTCCAGAAATAGAAGCCTTCTTGGAATTTCTAACTTGCAGTTAATTCATCTAAGCTTAGTAAGGTTGATTATTTTATTTATTTCCAGGTACATGTCAACATTTTAACTCTTCATAGTGTTATGTAAGTTGTGTTAGGTGAATGAGTTAATTCTTACATATCGTTAGTCACTGCATCTTGACATACTTTTCAACGAGGAGTAGATTACTTCAGTGGTGGGGGTTCATATTTGGAGACTCCTTTCCCTGCTGTTTGACAGTTTCCTTTATATACTAGCAAGGCCACCTAAGAGCTATTTATGGGTTTGTCTTACCAGAAGGAGCCCTGGCCTGGGAGCCAGTTGAACTGAGTTCCGGTCTTGGCTCGCCCACTGAAGAGTTGTGTGACCATAGGCAAGCCACCTGACTTCTCTGGGCATCAGTTTTTCCTTCTGCAAATAGAGAAGGTGGATTAAATGACTATATGGCCTTTCTCAGTGTATAAATACCTAAGATTTTATGGTCCAACATGTAATTCTGTACTATGTTATGTGTTAAATATTTGCAGGTAAACCTTTTTGCAAATAAGACCACATTTTAAAATAACATACTAATAAGCTATCATTAGTCCTAATTAATTCAGCAGTTCATTTCCATTTGCTGTCTTCCACTTGAAGGTTCATTGTTTTTATACTTTTTAAAGATGTGATTGGGAAGTTCCTTAGACACTTGAAAAGTTGGATGCTGTTTTGTGTGATTTCTCAACCTTTCAGAGTTGAGCAGAAATAGTTACTGAGAAGGTAATCACAGTGTAAAAAGTTGAAAGTGATGTCAAATGTTACCTCATAAAGTTCTAACTGTAGATTATATGATAAATACTGTTTGTCTTGTTACCCGACTGCTTTGTGAATGAACCTCTCTAGGTAACAGCTTAGCACCTTGTTTCCGTGGGCCATTTTCATGAAATGATCCTCTTTATTTCTTTTTACTGTTGTAGCCAAAAAACGTGCAACAACATGAGAAGGTGCAGAAAGCCAGCACAGAGGGCGTTGCCATTCAAGGTCAGCAGGGGGCCCGGCTTCTTCCCGAGCAGCTCGTTAAAGAGGCCTTCACTCTCAGTGACCTATTTGGCATTGGAGAACTGGCAGCTGTTGAACTGCTTTTGGCTGGTAGGTTGACACTTAACCTATGGTGAGGCAGTTCATAAATGCAAAATTTCAACTGTTATACCATTTAGATTCCACAGTAGTTTCTAAAGATGCAGTGTATTTGATATTCACGATATTTCCTTTTGTTTATCTTTGACTAATGGAAAGGCTTTAGTTAGTGGTCAGAGTTGTTTAAGAAAATTTAACTGTTTTAAGATAGACTTTTTCTCGGTCATTGACTCGCAAAGAATAGCTGACTGTATCTCAGATGTTTTTATAGCACAAAGCATTTCTTGTCATACAATGAGTAAGAAGGTAAGGTCACTGCTTTCTTGGCGTTTCTTTTTGACGGGGTGATTCAGACAATGAATAGGTAAAGAATATTCATGACTGAGTGAAGTTGCTCAGTCGGGTCTGACTCTGCGACCCCATGGACTGTAGCTTGCCAGGCTCCTCCATCCATGGAATTCTTTAGGCATAATACTGGAGTGGGTTGCCATTTCCTTCTCCAGGGGCTCTTCCCAACCCAGGGATTGAACCCAGGTCTACCGCATTGAAGGCAGACTCTTTACCATCTGAGCCACAAGGGAAATTCCTAGGTAAAGAATAAGATAATTTCAATAATATGGAGTTCTAGGGAGGAAGTAAAACAAGGCAGTAGGATAGAGATGGGGGCTGGCAGAGGGAACTGTGTAAGGAGTGTACTAAGGGAAGGCCTCTCTGAGATTGAAGCATTTGGTCTGGAACCTATATGATGACAAGATACCAGAGTTGTTGGGGAAGGCTGTTCCAGGGATTGCAGAGCTTGAGGTGAGAGCAAAGCCTTGCCAAAGGACACAAAAACCACAGTGGCACAAAAACCACAGTGGCCGGGACATCATGAATGAGGGCGAGAGTGAAAGAAGACAAGGACATCATAGGAGTCAGATCATAGTCTTGCAGGCTGTGAAAATTGTTTGGATTTTATTCTAATTGCAGTGGGAAGTTGTTGGCAGGAGCTTTAAGCATAAGAGTTATAGAATCTGGAAAAACTGAAATTATTTGTCCTGCTGCTGTATAGAGAAAAGATCGAAATTTCCATAAAAAAAGTAGTTCATTTTAATCATAGTTGGGGAGCCATGTGAAGAAGCCAGGTGAACATTTTAATTGAAAGACAGTGTAATATGTCTGAAGATAACCATGCAGCTGCCAGAATAATACCTGGCTTTTGACCTAAGGTTGTATTGAAAGACATAAGATATTGAGAATAACTAAGGTCATTTTCCCATTCTGTGATGGAGATGTTAACTGGGCATGTTCCAATTATGAGTTTAATTCAAAACTTAATTTACCAAATATTTTTCCTGTGCCTATTATGGGTCAGGCACTGTGTTAAGATTCAAGGGATATAAAGATGAATAAAACCTCAACTAGCTTATAAGTTATTATAAGTGAAGTTATTACACTGTACATAAAGGAGCTGATAGTCTAATAACTGAGAAAGACATAGGAACCAGTAATTATGGCCCATTAAGTGCATTAATGCACAGTTAGGGGATGGCCCAGCGGGGAGATGTTTAAATTGACCTCAGATTGTTGTAGAGCAGTCCACAGAGATCACGAGGCTTACAGTGGTTGTTGAAAATAATTAGGCATATGTCAGGTGGAGTAGGTGCGCACTCAGAAGACAAAGGACATCCAGACAGAAGAAATCGCCTGTGAGAACTGTGAGGCAGTGAGATGAATTTGGGGAAAAGAAGGGAAGAGAGTGTAGGAGTGACTGGGGCAAGGGGAGAAGAAAACCATAGGAGATGAAACTGTAGGCAAGGTTGTTCAGAAAAGACAAAGTAGAATTGACTCAAACTGGAGTAGTTTCTGAAAAAGAGCGAGTAGAAACATAAGAGAAGGTTATTTAATTTACTAGGGGAACAATCTTAAAAATATTTGAAAGATTTTATGTGAAAGAATAAAACAATGGATAGGTGTTTCAAGTAGAGGACCCTTTAGTTCAGTCACTCAGTCGTGTCCGATTCTTTGTGACCCCATGAGTCACAGCACGCTAGGCCTTCCTGTCCATCACCAGCTCCCGGAGTTTACTCAAACTCACGTCCATTGAGTCAGTGATGCCATCCTGCCATCTCATCCTCTGTCATCCCCTTCTCCTCCTGCCCCCAATCCCTCCCAGTATAAGGGTCTTTTCCAATGAGTCAACTCTGCATGAGGTGGCCAAAGTATTGGAGTTTCAGCTTCAACATCAGTCCTTGCAATGAACACCCAGGACTGATCTCCTTTAGGATGGACTGGTTGGATCTCCTGTCAGTCCAAGGGACTCTCAAGAGTCTTCTCCA